AAAACAACAGCTGCTGATGTGAACTTGGCAGAAATTTGTGAGTAATGGTGGGTGACTCATTGCCAACCGGGGAGTCTTGCAGCTTTTGAGGTGAACAGGCAGAGGGGAGAGCTGAGATGGTGGCCACGCAGGGGCCAGGTATTTATATATCCTGATTGTGAAAATGTCTTTGGTCCCCAGTTAAATTTTGCAGCTGCATCATTCACATGAATTGTAGCACCGTTTGCACCAGAAAAACCTAAAAGCATAAACAACCCATATTTCTTAAAGTGCTTGTTCTCAATTTGGGATGATTGTGCTGGGGTGGGAGGTAAGTGGGTTGGTGGGACATATTATATCACCTGGCTTTTTTTTTTTTTTTTAAATCATGCAAAGCTGCCTTTTACCCGTACCCCAGGGGATGCCATCATTCTCATATACCTAGTCCTAAAAAGGGCTTGCCTGACTCTTCGTGTGATGAGGGGTGGTTATGTGTAGTTTGAAAAAATTGCTTAGGGGCCGGCCCGGTGGTGCACTGCTACAGTGCGCTGCTTGGGAGCGCGGTGGCTCTCCCGCCAAGGGTTCGGATCCCACATACAGACCGGTTCCCGCTCACTGGCTGAGCGAGGCGCGGGAGCAACACCGAGGGTTGCGGTCCCGTTGCTGGTCCCGGTCCGGTACGGGGGCGACACTGAGGGTTGTGATCCGTTGCCGGACACGAAAAAAGACAAAAAAAAGACAAAAAAAAAAAAGAAAAAATTGCTTAGGTTATTCTGATTTTTCTGTTCTCCTGCATTGAAAATCACTGTTCCAAAGCAAATAATAAATATCTAAAGAAATTATACCTCATTTTTAAGGTGTCCACGGAATTGTTGCAATAGATTTAAACCTTTGCCTATTTATGAAATCTTGACTGAGGGAGACAGCCATGTTAGAATCTTTATTTTATTTCTTCTTGAGAATTCAGTTATATCGCCAGCAGTGTGCTCTTTGTAGAGTTAGAAAGTCACCTCGTCTGAGAAGCCAACCTTGTCCACAGCTGCGAGTTTGTAGAAGTCAGTCACTGAAGGAAGGCTTTAGAATTATCTATTATAAAACGTAGGAGTAAAAACAAAACAAAACAAAAAAACACAGCAGTACACTGGAATCCAGTCCCTTGGAAACCTTGCGAGTTTGTAGAAGTCAGTCACTGAAGGAAGGCTTTAGAATTATCTATTATAAAACGTAGCAGTAAAAACAAAACAAAAAAACACAGCAGTACACTGGAATCCAGTCCCTTGGAAACCCCAACTATTTGAGTGTTTTGATAATAACAGGCTATTGGTTAATTGCAACATTAATTGTATAGAGTAGTGCTGGGGAAAACTTGTAGGTGAAAGAAATTTGGAAAAGTATCTCCTTCAGATATTTTAAAGAAGACACTTCTCAGAATGAGAAGCTTTTCTGGAAAAGGCTAGCTCTTTGCTTTAGAGGGGAAGTGGAGAAGGTGTAACTCTGAACTTGTGTGGTATAACTTTAAAGGGTAAAACTTTACCTCCCACTTAGCTGCTTGTTCCTAGTATAAATACATTTTTTCATCTGTAGTTTTAGAGATTATGCATCATTTTCTGTTACTCATTTCTGCTTCTGAATGAGAGGCCATTTAACACAAAGCCACATAGGAAATGGAAAATTATGGAAAGGGCATTAGTGTTGAAAATAGACCTGTGCAGCAGGGGTGCTGTATTTGTAAGTGGCTCTCAGTACAGAGAACACTTACAAAAATTCAGTGTTATTTCTTATTTATTCCTTTAAGCCTTTGAATAAAGTCTTTTCTTTGTAGAGTTTTTGTAATACATCAGAAAAAGTGGGAGCTGAAATTGGCTTTAAGAGAGCACCAGTATGGGCATTGACTGTTGCATAGCAGCTCCTTCGAGTTAAATCTCTAACGCAGGCAGTTTTAATTCCTTGTTTCTTAAGCAAACCTAAACACTCTTGACTCTTAAATAACTGTGTTCTTTCTAGGGCAAAGTTGCTTTCGCTTCTACTCAGAGCATTGAAAATTCTTCTATGATCGTTTTGCTGATCCTCAGTATTAATATTTTTCCTTTGTTACAACCTTTAAATCATTCAACTAGACACAGATACAGATAAATATGATTATCTTGTTATACATGTGGACATTCATTGTTACATGGTCAGAAGGTTTGCATAGGTTGTATATATCTGCACAATTTCCCCTTTCTCAGTTACCTACTTTTTTGTTGTTGTTCAATGATGAGAATCAAAATATTTGCCTTATAAAGTATTTCCCCATTTCTCTCCTCCATATGTGAATGTTCTTTCACCTTTTGGCTTCTAGGCTTATCAGTGCTTTCCCTTTCTTAGACCTCTATACACTTGCACCTCCGCCCCTGCCCCGCTTCCCCCCAAGAGGCCATAGGGAATAGAGCACACCTCCTCATTCTCCACTCCAGCTGTGGGCTTTCCCTCTGGAGGCAGTTTCTTGTGCTAATTCATTTGTTAGGCCCCTTTAAAAACTCTCAGGTGATGAGGAGGTAGAACTGATGTCTGCTTCTAGTAGGTAAGGACTCAAAGTATCAGGTGCCTCAACTAGTGCTGATTCTAGGGTGTAGGGTTCATGAACTTTTATGGTTCATTTTAGAGGTTACCTTAATGTTCAGTGCCCCAATATCATGGTTTCATATACCATCTGTATTAGTCCGTTTCTGTTGCTTATAACAAGATACTTGGAACTGGGTGATTTCTAAGAAAACAAAATTTATTTGCTTACAGTTTCTGAGGCTGGGAAGTCCACAGTGACTGGTGATGGTGATGGTGACAGTGGTGATGGTGATGGTGACAGTGACCCAGGGGTCTTACAGTGCAAGATGGTGGAAGCAGAGAGAGCAAGAGAGAGAAAGACTCCTCTCTCTCCTTTTAAAGCCCTTAGAATCACGCCTCTGACCACTATTTTTAATCCATTCACTATAGCATGGTCCTACAATCTAATCACCTCTTCAAGGCTCTACCTTTCAGTTACCATAGTATTTCCCACCCTCTCAACACTGTCACAGTGGGCTCCAACTTGGGGGACAAAAGTCAAGCTTCAGTGAGTTTTGTGGGGGGACATTATTCAGTCTAGTACACTGTCCATGCAACCAATGACTCCCAAATTTCTAGCTCCAGCTAGATTTTTCTTTCCAACTCTAGACTCCAATGTTTATCTGATGGTTTGATGGCTTCATTTGGATGTCTGGTATCTTAAAACCAACATGTATGAAAACTGAGCTCTTCATCTTCTGACCTCAAACTGGCCTGCAGCATTCCCAGTCTCAATTAATGGAAACTCAGTCCTTCTGTTTGTTCAGGCCAAAAAAACTTGGAGTCATTTTGACTTTCTTTCACGTACCGCATCCATTGTGTCAGCAAATCTTGTTGGCTATGCCTTCCAAACATTCAGAACCCAGCCACTTCTCATCACCTCCACTGCTACAGCCCTGCTCTGAGCCACTATCATCTCTTACTACATTACTGTGATACCCTCCTAAATAGTTTCCCCCTTTTCTTCTTTGACCCATGTAGGCTATTAGTAATCAGCAGCCAGAGTGATCCTTTGGAAACATGAGTTGGGTTGTATCACTTCTCTGTAGTGCCTCCCCATTTCACTCAAGGTAGAAGCCAAAGTCCTTACAGTGTCCTCCAAGGCCCCCCATGATCTGCCCTTCCCTCGTGTCCTCAGCCCCAGCCCTTTGCTCCAGCCACAGTGGTCTCACAGTTCTGGTACATACCAGGCACAGACTGCCCTTTGCTCTTGCTATTCCTTCCATCTGGACATTCTCTCACCTCCTATTCTTCTGTTCAAATCGCAGTTCTCCGTTAGGCCTTCCACAATCACTCTATTCAGTGCTGCACATTACACCTTTCCAGCACCATCACTCCATACTTCTTACTCTCTTTATCCTGTCCTACTTTTTCTCTTTTCCACAGCACTTTCCATTTTTTAACATGCCAACCGCTTTACCATGTTTATTGTCTTTCTTCTTCTGCCCACTAGACTCCAAGCTCTGTGAGGACAGGGATCTTTGTTTTATTCATTAATTTTACTCAAGAACAGTGCTTGGTACATGGTTGGCACTAAAAAATATTTGCTGAATGAATTAATCAAAGATTAATCCAAGTTTTGAAAGAATAATAATTCATATAGCAATACTAATATAGCTGTGAATTCTTAAAAATTATAAATTTAAATATGAAATGAAGTGTCCCTTGTTTAAAATAGGAAATGGTATTGAACATTAGCAAGAAGAATGAGATGGAATCACACTGACTGCATTCTTACCCAGCTCCACCATTTACCAAGTTACCCAAATTATTTTTTGCCTCAATCTCTTCATCTCTTAAATGGGGATAATAATAGTAATTAGCTCACAGAGTTGTGAGGATTAACCGAAAATGAAAGTAAACTAGTTAGCATGGTGACTGCCATGTGGTAAATACCCAATAAATATTAGCTAACATGATTAATCTCTTGTTAATGTAGGTCAGAAGTATATGGGGTCGAAGATATCCTTGCAGATAGAGAGCAAAATTTAAATCAGATTCTAAATTTCTGAAGTTTGTGTAAAATATGATTCTGCTCTTGGCTTGGTTTGTAAATAATGTATGACCATAGCATATTGTAAGAGCAAGTTAATTTCCAACAGAGGAGATCATTTCTCAGCATTTTTATTTGGCAATATCTGCTAACCCACTTTTACTGAATTTTTTGTGTTTATCTTTGACAGAACTTTGACACTAGGGAGGTAATTACCCACTTTTTTGTTGAAATCATAGTGACCATCAAAAAGTGTTCTGAATTGTGTCTTAATCTTACATTGGGGTAGCCTGTCAGTGAGACTTCCTCTAAATGAGCAGGGGAGGGAGGCATTCATTTCATTGTGTCTTTTGTAGCTTGATAAGCTGGAACTAAATTATCTTTAATAAGATCTTTTTCTGTTTTTTTTTTTTTTTCCTTTTCTTTTATGTACAGATGCACAAAGCAGGGTCATCAGAAGCCTTTCGATTCAAAAGATGATAATGCTGAAAAACACTGCCCAGTGACAGTGAATCCTTGGCATATGAAGAAAGCTTTTAAAGTCATGAACGAATTAAGAAGGTATCATTACATTAATGTACATGTAACCATTCGTCTCTTCCCTTTATTTTCATTGTTTGTAGTGAATATACCCTCCACCCCCAAATTGTTGCTTTGTTTTATAGAGAAAACATTAAAAGCTTTTTCTCTGAGCTTTTTAAAGGAAGGAAGAGAGAAAATAATTTATGCGGAAGTGTGGATGGTGCATGGCTTCTCCGTTCAATATAGTAGCTACTAGCCATGTGTGTTTAGTCTGAATTGAGATATTCTGTATGTAGAAAATATATGTGAATTTCTAAGACTTAAGTGCAAAAAAAGGTAAAATATTTTATTAATAATTAAAAAAATATTGATTATATGTGGAAATGGTAATATATTGGATGTTTTTGATGAAATAGAATATATTATTGAAATTAACTTCGCTTGTTTCTTTTTATCTTTTTACCGTGATTACTAAACAATTGTGACTTGCTTTATATTTCTCTTGGACAGTGTGCTGGTCTAGGGCTTCTAACTTTAAAAGTTTCTTTCCATTTTCATTGTGACAGTTAAGTTAGAAGCCCTAGACCAGCACAATGAAAATGGAAAGAAACTTTTAGACAGAGAAGAATGTAGCTGTGGTGGTGGTAGTGGCAGAGGTGGTAGTTTTGGAAAGTAGTGACCTGCCCATTGCTAAGGTAATTCTCAAATATGTTAAGAGCCACTGCAGTGAAAAGAGTGACATTAAAATATGTATTCACAGTCTTGGTTTTATTTTCTTAGCACTTTGTGAAAGATTTATTTTTTTCCGCCATCCCATTTGTGAAAGTACTCTAGATCTACCTGAAATGCTAAGAGCTTGGCTAAGAAGGGAGTGGCTTAAACTTTCCCATAATCTCTCTATGCTAGGTCTTCCTAAAAGCCCACCCTTTAGGTCCATCATTTGTTTGTTTCTTCTTTTTTTTTTTTTCCTTTTTTGTCTTTTTTCGTGACCGGCAACGGATCGCAACCCTCAGTGTCGCGCCCATACCGGACCGGGACCGGCAACAGGATGGCAACCCTCGGTGTTGCCCCCGCACCTCGCTCAGCCAGTGAGCGGCCGGTCTGTATGTGGGATCCGAACCCTCGGCGGGAGCGCTGCCGCGCTTCCCAAGCAGCGCACTGTAGCAGTGCACCACCGGGCCGGCCCATTGTTTGTTTCTTCTTTAATAAATGAATGATTCAATAAATATTTATCTACTAGGTACTGTAGATACAATGGTGAACAAAAACAGATATGGTTGCCACCCTCATGGGGCTTTTCCTTGACTGCAGGAAGTAGGCATTAATCAAAGAATCACAAAAATAGTTTAATGTAAATGGTAATGGCAGTAAGTGCTACAAAGGAGGGCTGGCTGCCTGGTGCTATGAAGGTGGAGACTAGTGGTTAGGAAAGGCTTTCCTGAGAAGATAGGAATAATTATGCTGAGATCTGAAAGAAAATAGAGGTAAGAGGATTAAGTCAGGATGGGAGTGGGGAGATTAGAGAACAGTGTTCCATGGACAGGGAAAGGCAGTGCCCAAGTCTTGTGGTGGGAAGGAGCTGGCCTCACTGGAGGAACTGAAGGCATCACTGGGGCACAGAAGACTGGGGGATCACAACAAGAGAGGAAACTAAGTGGGTAGGTGAGGGCCAGCATACATAGGACCTAACATTTTGGTCTTTATCAGGAGTTGCCTAGGGAGGGAGCCATTGGAGAGTTTTAAGCAGGGATTGACATGATCAGATTTGTATTTTGAAAAGAACGTACTAGCTGCTGGGTGGAGAATGGATTGGAGAGGGACAAGAGAAAGTTAAAATGAACATTGGATCATTTGACTTGCTCCCTAGTATCCTAGTGCTCTGACAACATTTTCAAAATGTGGGTTTTCATTTATTCTTTGGGAGAATATATAGCTGGGGTAATCCACCAGGTCTGGTGGTGCTGTTTCAGTTTCTCAATCCTGTTTTGACAGTAATGAGAATGTACAATGCAGTGGTTCCTAAGTGGAATTGAAAGAAGTAAGAATAGTCTGGGTCGTTGAAGACTCTGTGGGCATGTGTGGCCTTGGTTTTCTGCTGGTGTTGTGTGAGTGAGTCTCTGGACCTGGGCATGACTCAGGAAACTACAGGGAAGGTAACTTCTTCTTCTTATGTGAATGAATCAAATTTTGGACAAACTTTGCCTTTGTGTCAATTGTTTTCCCTCTTTGAGCCTTGACTGTAAAATGAGGTGAGTGGACGGGGCGGTGTTTATGGTTCGTTGCTGCTCTGACATTCTCTCAGCCTGTGAGAGTGTTACCTGCTTACCTGACAGTCCTGCGGTGTACTTGCCTTGTGCTAGGATTATTTAGCTCTAGCCTTCATTCACCCATTTATCCCATTTGGGGTGTGAACTTTATGGCTGTGAAACAGTAACTTCTTGTTCTTTGTGTTGCACCGTTTTGGGAGCTAGTATGTCACCAGGCTGCTAGTTGATGCTGATTTTCAGAACAAAGAATGAGCTTGGAATAGCTGAAGGGTTGGCTGCCAGGTCTAACCAGGATTGTTTTAATGAAGTCTCTAACCAACAGTGTTTTTAGAAGTGAACTGTCTTTGGGGTTCATCAAAACCTTAAAAAAAAAAAAATTCTGTTTTTTCTTATCCTTTATAGCCGATTTGAGTAATTCTTTAAAAAAAAAAAAAATCTCTGAAGAGGCCTATTCCTTGTATAGCTGAAAATCATTAATTATTTCCTGTCCTTGCATCAACTTCCTGTTGCCAGGAAAGGGTAGCTGAGAGTGGTTTCCTGACTTTTGGGAAGGGAGAACTTCCTTGTTCTCACCACTCTGATCTTGGGTTTAACCACAAAGTGGTAGAGTAACAGCTGTGCACTAGAGAATTTTGTGAACCTTTGGCTCATGAAAGCAAAATTTTAGGAGTAAAAATCACTTTCAGTTGTAGTTTGTGTAGGGTATAGTTATGGGAATGGGGTTGGGAGGACAGGAGTTTTGTAAGGTTTAAGTTATAGAATTAAAATTGTTTTATAGAAAAAGAACAAGACATTTTCTTTATCGTTTTCTTAAACTAAGTTTTTTTAAAAGATGGAAGGCCCAGAGGCCAACTCTGTATCCTTGCCCAATATGAATATGAGTAACTTAAAATTATTAGGTTTAAAATCTCTGCAGTCACTTCTAAAGAATGTATTCAGCAAGTATCTGTGAGTACCTGGTTCTCCTTTGACATTAGCTTATGTGTGCAAAGACGGTGTGGGATCAAAAAACGGTATTAGGGGCCGGCCCTGTGGCGCACTGCGCTAGTGCGCCGATTGGGAGCGTGGTGGCGCTCCCGCCAAGGGTTTGGATCCCACATACAGACCGGTTCCCACTCACTGGCTGAGCGAGGCGCGGGGGCAACACCGAGGGTTGCGATCCCGTTGCTGGTCCCGGTCCGGTACGGGGGTGACACTGAGGGTTGCGATCCGTTGCCGGACACGGAAAAAGACAAAAAAGGAAAAAAACGGTATTAGATTTAGCCCGTGCCCTTCAGGTGTCTAGGGGTACACAGAAGATGAGGTAGGAGAAGATTGTGTACAAAACGTGGGTCCAAAAAGGATTCCTACTGGAAAATCCATAGCAGCCCACAGAGGTGGGCTTCAGCTGGGTCCTGTTGAGAGTGCAGTAGGATTCATATAGAGGATGGGGTGGGAAGGCCTTTCCTGGTCTGATTAATTGCAAGAGCTAGGGAGGGGATAAACGTAACCTGTTTGGATAAAGTATATCAAGGGTTCATGCTGGGGAGACTGTGCAGAAACGGTTAGGAAGCAAGAGGAGGACAGAATTTTGGCAGGCTTAGATAGAGTGGTGAATTGGAACTTAATCCTCTGGGCAGGGGGATTCACTGAAGGTTTTTGGGAAGTGGAGTAGCAAGGTAAGATTAATGATGTTGGAGGAACAACCTGTCAGTTCTAAGAGGATGGTTGTAGTTCAGCAACACAATTCCGGTGGGAAATTTAGCTCTTAACTTTCAATATCCCAAGCTGGGATTGGGAGAAGAAAGTTTTTCAAAACACAAACATTTTCAAAATCAAACCAACATATCGTTATAGAGTGCTTATTATGTGCAGTGCACTGTATTGGGTCTTTGGAGAGGAAGAAGCAGACTATATTCCAGATACAAGTTTTATTGAGAAAATGAGATTGCTAGCTTTTTTTTTTTGTGGTAAACACATATAAGGATTGCTATTTTAAGCATTTTTAAACATAGAGTTGTGTGTAATTAATTATATTCACAATGCTATGTGATTACTACCTCTATTTCCAAAACTTTTTCATCATCCTGAACATAGACTCTGTACCCATTAAGCAATAACTTCTCATTTCTTCCTCACATATCTGATAATCTATAATCTATGTCTGTCTTTTTTTTTTTTTTTTGTCTTTTTCCGTGTCTGGCAACGGATTGCAACCCTC